CATCCCATCCAATAACACGAGCCCCTGCTTTAGCATATTTAAATGCCAACAATTTTCCAATTCCATGTCCAGTACCAGTTATCTGCAAAATAGAGCTCTTTTTGAAGATTACCAAATTTCCTGCAGTCACCAATAAACCTCGTTAAATATTTACAGAGTCTTTACAGACTTCGCGTAACGACAGAGCCTTGCCCTCCGCTATTATAAAATTAGCCAGAGATGGTATCTATATAGTGGGCTATATAGACCGTAAATTAGTAAATTTCTGTTATTCTGGTTATCTGTCAGCCGATAGGACGCCTCTCAGGAACCTATTTTGGGTCCTTTGAACGCGCCGTCTCGTGGAATTACTGCCAGGCTGCCAGATAGGGAGCCCTTGATCAGTATGGCTCTTATAGTAGAGGTGTAGAACAGAATTTTGTTTTGAGGTGATAGAAATTAATTTGGCGCCAGAAGAGAGTATAACTTTCTTTGGGTCATAAAAATCTTTTGTATAGAATAGTCAACATGCTTATTGAAATGAAGTCGGGCGTCTAGTTTGAATCCCATGTATTTCACCTCTTGTACTGGTTTGATTTGAGTATTTTGGACCATGAGTGCGATACGATTTTATTTTTTTTACAAACCTCTTGTTGGGTATTTCGCATCAAAAATTGTTGTCTTTAAAAATGACAGAATTTGCTCACGTCTTTTATTACAGACTGATAAATAGTGCTTCTATTTCGCAATAAGAACGAATTGTTTATCAAAAAGTAATCAAGAACTATCACCTAGAGGGTGCCTGCGACACAGTTAGGGTCAAGCTGTAAGAGAAAATTCCAATTAGTAAAGAAATTAATTTGAAAACTTACCTTGACGTTTCGATAGCTATTTTCTGCTTTCGTTTTCAAAAGAACCTATTATACTTTGTTATTATGTTAGGTTACTCTGAAAACTATAGCAGAAAATAGCTATCGAAACGTCAAGGCAATTTTTCAAATTAATTTCTTTACTAATTGGAATTTTCTCTTACAGCTTGAGCCTAAGTGTGT